CTGTGCTCATTTTGAGCTTTAAGGTCTGCAGAGCTGGGGGAAAAGAACGAGAGAATGTTACTGTGCTGGTGTGGTGGGAAGGCCTTGCAGAATCCCTACAAAATGACAAATGTTGCATCAAAACCTCAGGAATCTAATAGCTTGTAAACAGCTTATCCTTCTCTAACTTTCCAAAAGTGTTTTATTTTCGCATAAATTCTATGTGATACCTACGAATGCAGCTATCTCCAATTACAATTCTATGATTTTTTCACTCACACATGAACCTAATTCTCACTTTTCTGTAGTAGCTTTGAAACAATGTAGCAATACGTAAAGTAGTTGAAAATTCAGAACTTTAAATATTGCTGTTGGAGCTTTGGTCCCTCTGTCAGAATTCAGGCAGTGGTATAGCAGTTGTTACCCAGTAATTTTTATTGCACAATGCAAAACCATTAAGCTTAGCTTAAGAAGGTGTTAAAAACACGACCAAACTGAATTTTCAGTTGGTTTCCTGTTTTTAACATTCAGATTCAAACTACAGTATGAGTGTAATGCTTCCCATCTGGGTCTCATCAGTTAAAAGTTACATTTTGGTAAATCTAATGATGACTTTCTGCTTGCTAATTTCACTGCAAGATCATAGACTTTAAAAAAAAAAACAAAAAAACATTGAGACACTCAAGTGAAAAGGAAGTTTGATATGTGCTATGTGTTTATTTCAAGCGCATAAGCACCTTAATGAAAAAAAAAAAGTTATATTTTCCCCTTCTTTATTAACTTGTCAAAAGTCTTGGGCTAAAAATGAAAACATTTTGTAGCCTTCAGTGCACTGTATTCAAGTTCTCCTTTTAAAAGCTTCAAGTAATTTTTAAAAATCAATTTACCAATTTCCAAAAGGCTTCCAATCCCAAGTATCCTAGTTCTGTAAAGTTTTGTGAATCTTCTCCTTTTATGTTAGTTGATCATTGTGTCCTATATCTAAGTTGTTAGGTATGGGGAAGAATTACCCTTATAATTCTCTATAGTCATCATTATTATCTCTGTCATTCCCAAAATAATTCAGAGCTTAAAAATACCATCTTTAAAATATACTTTTTTTTTTTCTTTCACACAGCAAGTAATCAGTGTTCAGACTCAGGCCCTTTTAAAATACCTAGTTCTACTGGCCAGAGTTGGATATTCAATAATCTCATTTTTCACTAGAAATGTTGGGGATTTTCCTAGAAATTTTCACATAACCTCCTGCTTTCAGTTTGAATTTTAAATCCAAGTGATTTAATTTTTGTATAAACTTGTTCCTAGCATTTGCTCTGTACCAAAATTCAGCCTTTCTAACTTTTCCAGATTTCTTTCCCTGTGTTCTGCAGCGAGTTCAGCCCTGCTTTTCTGTATTAGTTAACCTTTTGCCCTATAAATATTCCTTCATGGAAATTTTTCCTGGTTGGCTCAGGTTTGTGATAGTCAGGGAGCCTGGGCTGATAAGGAAACCCTGCTGCCAGTGTGCCGAGGAAAGCATTAAACCACAGCTGCACTCCTTAGTGCTCCTGTCTTTACCTGTCCCAATCTCATACCATTACACTTGATTTATCCAGTGTAACGTGATCCTTATACAAAGCCAAGCTTGGTTGTCATAAGGCCTTCCATTTTCATGCCTTTCTTATCTCTTTTCCAGCTGCATGTTCCCCAGTGCAACAAATAGCTCTGGTGTAAAGCTTTCACAGTAAAAGGAGCCAGGAGTAAATTTGTGCAGGTTGGGTTTTGATGGAACTTAGACAGATAAATGTGGTTGGGGTTTTTTTTATTTATTTTATTCTATTCCCTTTTAGTCTTCTGCTTTCTGATTTCTTTCCATGATATTAATCACCTTGCTTACCTCAGTACTGGAGTGCTGGAGATAGGAGCTGTGAGATGCACCTTTCTGTAGCATATACTGATATCTGCAGGTTTTCCTGATCTGCCTGCAAGTGCCTTGGGAGCCCAGCTGCAGCCACCTCAGGCTGCCTTCTGGAGGGATGCAGGGGGCAATTTTGCATTTCCATGAAGCTGTGTTTAAAAGCTAAATAAACTAAAATATGCACAATTCTTCCATAGTCAGTCCCACCAGGCCACCTTCCTCATCAGACTTTGACATAAAACATCTCTCAGCATTGATCTTTGTGTTGGATGGAGCTTACAGTGTGGTTAGCAAAGAAGGCTTTCATTCATGTGTCCCTGCAAATTAAAACAATCAAAGAGCTTAGAGAAATATAAAACAAGTTGCATAATGGGAAGATGCTGCTAAATTCAGGTGATTAGAAATAATATCATGCCTTTAGAAGTCTTTAAATTGATTGAGAAATGCCAGATTTCTGTGACACAAAACAATTTTAAAATCTAACAATTTATATTTCTTTGACTTAGGAACTTTCTTTCATGTTTTAATTCTTTTTCTTTGAAGCCACATAGACTGAAAACTTACTTTGCTCATTTTTAGAAGGGAAACCCAGGGCTCCCCTGCAGTATAATTGGTTGTGTCCTTCCAGTTTGGATTTTGATTTGTACAGAGTATTTTTGGATGTATCAAAAACATGACTTACAGTCAGAATATGTGACCTTGTCAACATTTCAGTAAGCAGAGGTCAAACCAGAACCTGAGAATACAACTTACATATTCATAGTTGCATAAATTGTCCCAAAAGAAGGTCTTTTATTATATATGCTGTCCATTTGCATGCTTAGTTAATAGTTTAGTGGGCACCATGGAGATGTCAGCTGCTTCTTTACTGCTATATTTTATTTTGCATAAACCCACATACTTTTTCAGACAAGAGAATTAGTGTAATCTCTTTCAGAGTGATAGCAACATGAGTTCAATGCCTTCAAGAAGGGATGATAGCATTGGATAGCTGTTGAAAAGGAAGAAATCTTTGAAATATTCTATTCACCTATGCAGTTAAAGTGACTAGAGATTCAAACAAACATTGATTCAACTTCACTGTCTGTAAGTCTATAAGCACCTGCCTCCAAATTAAGCAAACAGAATAAACAAACTGTGAGAAAAGAGAGGGTATTTGAAAGGTAATGCAACTATAGTTACTGTATGAAGGTATGGCAGTTTTTTAACAGTGTGAATAAAAGAAATGGGGCAGGAAAATCATGGGAAAGATAATGTAAACTAATGAAAACTTACATCGTTTCCATGAATAGCTTTTAGGGGGTTAGGGTAAAAAGCCATTTCATGACAGAATAAAATAATAAAGACAGTGATCAGTGGTAGTCAGGGCCAAGATGCAGCCATCTGAAGATGAGAAAACCCAGGTGTGATCCAACATTGCTTTGGTCTGATTTTTGGTAGCATCTTTGTCACCAATGATTGTTCTCATGAATGTTTGAGGATTTCTGCTCTAATCAGCTCCATGAGCCCTGAGTGTTCAAAATTCTCTAATATTTTTAGTCTGAGTACAGCAAAGCTAAACCTGCTTTCAGTTGGGATAGTTTGCAATGGTGAATCAGGCCAACCCCTGAGAAAAGGTGACAGAGTTGCAGGGAAGACAAAATGTCAGGAAAGGAACAAAACCCCAACCTGCTTACTAGTGAAAGCAAAGACTGTGACCTAGTTTCCCTTTTTTCATTAGGATGTGGTTTAGCAAAATTGCCACCATGTGCCTGCAGAGGTGATGAGCCCCAGCCACACCACAGGGCTTCCCAACAGCTGAGCTCTGCAGAGCTGGCACCATCTGCACAGCAGATCATCTGCCAGAGCTCTGGGGCAAAAAACATCAATCCAAGAGGCAGCAGGTAACTCCTGAGAAACACGGGGCCCCTGCCAAACCCCCAAGTGGGGCTAAAGCACTCACAGGAATCGAGGCAAGTCAAAAGTAGAGCAAGGGCTGTGGCAGAGCCTGCCCAGGTTCACCTGCCCTGTGTTCGTGCCTCCGCCCCTCCCAAGCACAGGCACTTGCCAAAGGAAACTGCAATTCTTATGCACGTCTTGAATTGCAGCCAGGTAATTACCTTCAGGAAATTTTCATGTTGCTAAATGATAATCTATAGAAAGTGAATGAGGAAGTCAGGCTGGAGGGGGGAAGCTAAAAATTTTGCAGTAAAATACACAACCATCTTGATTTAGAAGCTAGGTATAGGAAGATCTAGGTGTGATCTTCAGGGGAATAGTCTATTCTGTAAGTGCTAATCCTAGGAGGATACTTTGCCTTTGGTGGATATACACAATGCCTCCATACTGGACTCAACACACTGAATTTTGATCCTGAACTACCCAAAATTAGCATTGAGCAGTATTAGCCTATTGTAACAGTGCTGAGTGGCAGAACTTTGCATGTGACTTTTCAGGAATCCAACAAAACATCTCTGCTGAAGAGGCTGTTTCCTCAAGCTGACTTTCACATTCACTTTTGGTTTTTTCATTGCTATTAATTTATTTCCTGCATTCCATTAAAAATGGCATTTACAGGTCAAGGAGCATTAAAATGATTTCATTTGCAAAAAAAAAAAAAACAACAACCACCACAACTGAAAAACAAGAGCAAAACCCTCTCTGCCTTTGTTGATTGTGCAGTTTACCAAAGATTTACATTTTTCACATCTGTTGCCCTCCCATTATAGTTTTCATCTTGCATGTAAAATTGATACAGCAGCATAAACAATCTCCCAGTGGCTGGAGAAGGAAAGCTTAATAATAGCTCTGATTCTTTTTTTTTGTCCAAAAAAATATAAAACTTCTGTATTTTTTTATGATGTCACAACAAGTGGAGAGTTTGACATTATCACGTTAACTGCTAATGTATAAATGCAACACTAATGACTAGAATTAAAACTTTGTATAATGACCTTCCCTTGGTTCAGCCATTAAAAATACATTAATACTCTGTCTTGCAAATTGGACTTGATGCAATTTTATTCATCAATAACTAGTTTGTGGGAGTTTTGTTTGTATGGATATCTGTGTTTATTTTCTGGAAAATTATTCTGTTTTTGTCTTTTGCAAAGTAGAAGTCATCAATAGGTGCACTTATATAGTCTTTATTTTATTTTTATTTGCAAGAATAGTAGCCAGAATAAGGAAACTCAGTCCTCCCTCTTTCTACCTTGTACTCGAATTTGTCAGCTTTATCCACTGCTGTGTGCTTGAACGTACCCATTTGTACAATTTGTGTCTTACTCATCTCAAGTGAAAATTGAGACTTAATTAACAGATGTTTGTACCTACTTTCACATCCCCCTAAGAGCCACACTATGTAGGTGCAAAGCAGTTGTTGCTGGGACATGAGAACATTGGAGCAAAGGCTTTTTTGGAGATGGACAGCAGGTTACAAAAGGCTACGTGGACCATAGCCTTTATTTTACTTTTTTTACAGATACATCTGAATCTTTAAAAAAAAATCCCTGTTTTGAAGCAGGTGGGGCACAAGACAACAAAAAATACCTCCCATATAATAGGTTTTACTTCTTGCATCCCTCTTCTACAACCTGCATGCATCAAGGTTCTAAAGCTCTGAAAAGCAAGCTCTGAGGTGAACAAAAAGACTGCTGGAACAGCAGTGGGCATGTCAAAGCACACTTGAAGATAACAGCTGTCAGGACACAGGAGAGGAAAATGCAACCAAGTACACAGGCTGCAGGAAAACTTGGCCTTGGGCATTTTGCTTTCCCTTCAGTAGTTTTAACTCTTTGTACTCCAGAAATGGTTTTTAAAGAGAAAATCCTTTGTGAGCTGTTTCTGAAAAATGAAAATACACAAAGAACTAGTAAATGGCTGTTGGGCCACTGCTGTAAAGTGCAGGGAGGGCTGCATTTAGACAGCTTGGCTTTTATCTGATTGTGAGCTGTGTGTTTCCTCATACGGGAACTACCGCCAACCCAATTTTAATCAGTTGCAATTTTGTTTTTGCGTCTAAATTAGAATAGCTTGGCTTGAAGGGGAAGTGAAAAGAAATGTCTGTCAAAGCATTTCTATAAAGCAAGAACTCTTTCACTTTAGTTTCATCATGCATCTCCAGGCTGATATTCTTCATTTTACCCAAATATTACCAGGATTACTACTCTAGTGTATTTTTCATCAGCTTTCTGCTTGCAAAGCTAAACAAACAGTTCATGAGCCATGCTGGGAAATCTCCCCAAAGACTTTGCTCTTTAAAATATTTGAGTACTAGCGTGACTCAGATTGGGAATGGAGAATGGAAACTTTCAGTTCTGTTGTTGTCTAGAATCCACCTTGATTTGGGAACAACCAAAAATATTCCTTCCTGATGACTGCTCGGGGGCCTCTGTGAGGAGACTCGGCGGTATCAGTTACTGCAAGTAAGCAGACACGTATTTGGCACATGCCTCAGCAGAGACCAATGTACCTCCCAGCCAAGCTGAGGGACTCTTAGCAGGACAGAGCTTGATTTGTGACTAAATTCCAACCTGTGACCCAGCAAAGCTCCTCGCTCTACTGAGCCTGTTGCTCCTGCACTTTCCACCTGCATTATATCCAGTTAGAACGAAAATGGCTAAATACAAGTTTCTGCTAGCATCTGTTCCCGTGCCTGTTGTCTGAAACAAAGCCTAATTATCACAACCCCTTCCTTCATATTTTCTTTTGGCTTCCCCAGTTGTCTACAGCTTTGATATCTGGAGCATAAATGCCAAGGCTGAAACGTGCATTCAATTAGATGACTCTTGACTGACCTACATAACAGTTCATTCATGAGATAATGTGACCTGGAGTCATGGAGATAGAAGCCAGTTGATTGAGTTGGCTTGGCTGTGTACACTGCAAACTCTCCAGTGATTGAGGAATCTAAAATTAGCCACACACGGTAGGTTGTCGAGAGCCTTTCAGACCCGGCTCTATTTTGGTAATATATTTTTTATGAGATGGGCGTATAATTTGTCACATTACAATTCTTTAATGCTTAACTTTATTAGCATGAGGTACTTGGGTATCAAATAAAACGAGCAATTAAGTGATTTATGCTTAAGGTCTGCTCTCAGTTCAGGGCGTAGGTAACCAGCTTCCCATGAAGGGGCAAGAGCATGCACAGTGTTTACCACTTCCTTCAGAGAGCTACAAAATGGTGCTTTTTGAAGATGAACCTCGTCGTGCTTGTAAATCCCAACTGCCTATTAGTGCACCGCAAGTTAAAATGCATTTTCGTATTAAAGGTTATTGTGAGTTTGCAGAGAACCACAGGGTGTTTTCCTTAGCTTTTACCTACTACATTTGTGAACATGCAGCTTTCAGCTGTGGAGGGAAAAAAAAGTTAACCAGGGAGCAAGTGTTTTCAGCATAACGACTGAGCGACAGTTTTTGTATTGCTAAGCCACAAAGGAAGCTCAGATAAAGGTTGTAGGTCGGAAAGAAACCTTGAGGAGCATGCTCGTGAAGTGAGGCACTTGAAGAAAGGCTGCAGCTGTCACTTCCACATCTGAGGGGCTGTGAGGTATTTAAACCATTTTTTTATTCTCTCTTGTCTTAAAGATTCATTAACAGAATAATGTAGAATTTTCTGGTGTCTTTTGGGGTATACGTCCTTCAGTTTTTATTTTTTCCCTCAGTAAGTGTGGTAGGAGCAGTTTGTGCTCCGTCACATCCAGCTCCTCTCAGATGGAGCTGCTTTGGTGACTGATGTGTGTCTCAAGGAGGAGGGGGGGACATTTTGTACAGGGAGGCTGTGGGCTCCTCAAAACACATCTGGGGCACAGCACCACAGTTCCTGAGCCTTTCTCTTTTAGTAGATTCATCTCGTGGGTTTTTACATGCTTTTAAAGAGCAGGTTGCTTGCTGCCTCCTTCTCTGTCTCTCCCATGGTTCCGTGGTTAACTCTGTGCTGACATAGTGGTGATCCTGTCTTGGGGATGATGGAGACTAATCAAAATGCCCAGAAGCTGGCTGTCAGATGTCCAGCAAGAGGTTTTGGAGAGTCTTTTTTTTAATTCCTTAGGGATTCAGGGTTTTTTAATTACTTGACGTTGTATAAGAAATAAGGAAGTGACAACCTGCACAGCAGTAAAAAGACATTTAATTTATTCTTTCACTTTGTACATTTTACAGTGCTTTTGTATGATCCTTCTTTTTTGTTTTTTTTTTTTTTAATGATGCATATACATTGTTTGGCTTTGAGTGAATCAATTGTTGGGAATGCTGGAGAGAGGAGCAGCAGAGAAACTTTTGTATTTTGCAGGAGTTTTTTGGTTCAGACAGACCACTTGGGCTCCAAGCTGCGGCTGAAATTGCACAGGGCCCAATTAGTGCCTGTTACCTTTGCTGTTTGCTCTTGATGGGTTGCAGAGACAGAGGTTTAATTAAGCAGAAATGGGGATGTGGAGTTAATGTTCATTATAACTAAAATCGAAACAGCTGTTTACCTTGCTGAAGCCTCGTGTGTTAATGTCCATAAATCTCACCTCGAGGAGAGCTCGGAGGAGCCAGCCCCTGTACATGCCTTTCCAGATACCATGTGATATCATTTTACATACTCATTTTCACAACATTTCCTAATCATGTTAATTAACACATTAGGGTATAATTCTTATTGTCTGCAGAAATTACTTCAATTAAAACTATTAACATATTATCATGATTGTTATGGTATTTGCAATTTGCTTTGTTACTACTCAACAACTACTGCAACAAACCCAAATGTTTGAAATTAGCGTAAAATTGTCGTGGCTGCGCTTTTCCTCTTTACTGTCACATCAGGTCTCACTGTAAACTTCCTGAATAAGCTCTGTTTCTGTGCTGGGGCTTCCTCTGTGAAAAAAAAAGATGTGAGGCCATGACTCCTACAAGTTGAGGCTAGAAATATTTTGTCTTGATTAGGCTCTGCAGTGCCTAACAGGAGTGTGATCACTGTGCAAGTACATATGGAAAAAGTAAATAACTACAGTGGAGAACAAGACAGTAATGGATGGAAACTGGACACAATCATGCTAAAATATTAGTAGGTTTTTTCTTTTTTCTGTTCTTGGTCAGACCTGTGAGTTTCTGGTCTGGCTGTCTTGGAAGAGGAATGAAGGCAAGAGGCTAGCTTTAATATTGAATATTTTCAGATTCAAAAACTTCTTACAGGGAAGTGAAATGTGCTACCTATGTAAGAGGAAAAATTTGTTTAGTGTAATTGAAATCTTAGTGGTCTCATCAAATATTATTATTATTATTATTATTATTATTATTATTATTATTATTATTATTCCAGATTTATTTGTTAAGAAAAAAGAAAGAACTATTATGGCAGAGGAAATCTTCAATAATGCATTTGAGATGGATATAGACATTTCTTAGTGTCTACTCCTATCCAAGGTGTTTTGCTTATCCTTACTCAAAGAGCTTTAATTTTTGGAGTCAGATATCAAGGGCATCAGTGGGAGGGGTACCTTGATAGTGGGGGTTTCTAATCCTCATTCTGGGCTCTACTTTTGGCTGCTTTAATGTTTTTATTTTTTAATGTTTTCTAACATTCTTTTACACCTTCCTCATTCTCCCTTGGATTGCAACACCACCCATTCAATATGTATGTGATGTCTTACATATCTTGGATACTTTTTCTGTCTCACCCTAAAACCACAGATTTGCATTTTGTTAGGCAGCTGTAGGTGAATTTTTGTAGCCCTGGGGTCTTGAGTGTCAGGCTATGCCCTGTCTAATATCTGTTCATGCCTCCACTCCTCTGCACTGTACCTTGTGTAGCCTCTTCAGAGCTCTCTGTTGTGGTATCAGCTCTGTGCTCCTCTGCACTCTGTTGTTACCTTGGGATCATAAATATTTCATCCTGTGCAGAGTAACTGCGAGTTACTACTGTCTGTATTAAAAAGTGCACATAAACCACATCATTATGCAAAGACAAGCAAAAGCAAAATATATTGGTAATAGCCACCTGGCCGTTAAGAAAATTGCTGCTGCAGCTAAAGCAGCGAAAATGAAGCTCCAGGTTGGGCAATACAAGTGTAGGCAGGACTGATATGCCTGGGGTGGAGGATGTGCAGGCTCAGCACAAATTCTGTGTCCTATTGCTGGTATCACTGGGCTACAGGATATGAATGAGATCACTATTTGGGTGTGCCCTTACTGGCTGGGTGTCACAGGATGTCCTTTCTGGTCTTGGGCTTGTAGCAGCACCTTAAACTGTTGAAATAGAAAGGGAGTGCTTTGCCTTTACAGAGCAGGTGTATATTGGTGTAGTATTAGCAGGCAAGTTGAACAGAAAACAAGAAATTTTATCTAACTGAGGTAGATAATTGCTATCATTATTCTAAGCCATATGTATTCTATTCATCTTCATGATATTGCTGTGACAAAGCTGTTATCCTCCTTTACAGATAGAGTATTTATCTACAGTTGCCCTAGGATGCCTCTATAGTCAATGGAAAAACATTTCTACTTCCATTTTAGTCCACCTGAAGTCTGAATTGCCCTCTAAAATGATTATTTCTCTTCACGGACTAAACAGGAAATCCCACACACATAAATTTAATAAATCTGAGCCAAAGAGATTAGAGATTTGTCTGCAGCAGATGAGTTTCAGAGCCTGTGCTTTCACAGCTGTTACTAGTAACTAGTTTAGCTTAAATTTATTTCATATATGGAATATATAGGTGACTGCTATAGTTTAGATTGTACTGTTGTTATACATCAAATGAGACATGTCCAAATGGCCGAGAGTGGAATTTAATTTTCATATTTTGGATGAGAAGATGATGCCCTAATCAGGCCTTGTCTATCTAATGCTCTCAGTGGCACTGCTCAATTCTTTTCAGTTTGGCTACCACTCCAAACTGTTAAACCATCTGCTGATAGCAGCCGAAAAGATGACAATATAATAAATTACTCGAAAAAGTTAAGATGCCTAACATCTGCTCTCCACCAAGCTCGAGCATCTTCCCTGAATTGATGTTCTGTCATCTCATGACACAGCCAGGGAAGATGCCTGCTCTAAAGCTGTTGCAAATTCAAATCATTTGCAGATTTGCAGCTGGACTTACATTCCAGGCATCCATCCTAGGCCTAAATAGGGAATAACAATCAAGAAGGGAGAAGACAAAGGCAGGAGAAAACACAGTTTCTCAAAATACTTTAAGAAGTTCCTGGCCTAGGTAAAGGACTTCATCTACTCCTTATTCATTATGATTAATGAAGAAATACCTAATGATGGCAAGCAGAATTTTGTAAGACAGAAATAGAAACTGCTGCCTCTTCAGAACCACACGACTGCCTGTCCTGGAACTACGTTGTGCATAATGTTTTAATCAAATAACAGTTTGCTCAGTAGCAGAGGACCACATTGCTTAGTGCAAACAGAATGAAAACATATTCTAGATAAGATTATGTAGCTCCAAAGGTGCTGGTAGGCAGACACTGTTGAGAAAATATACACATAATATTTATTTAAAACGTTCCTGGAGCCTCCTTTGGTGTTATTAGTCTGTCATGAAAATCTGCAAACACATACTTATTAGAAACTCACTGCAAAACATTAGGCAGTTAGTGAAGTCAAATATAGAGGGTGGATGCCATAGCAGAGCACAGTTAATGGTTGAGCTGTGACTTAACTTACATCCAAGTGCAAACATAATTAAATTAGAAAAAGTTCTGAACCAAATGTAGGAGGTGTAGCTTGCCTGGAATGCAAAGATGAACCTGGATCCCATCCTACTGCTTCAGTCTCCTGAAGTAGAACTGAAGGAAACGGGAGCAGAATCCAAGTTAAAAGGTGTAAAACAAACTAGTAGGTGCCACAATGTTCTGCTCATTATTGTGGTACAAACTTACACAAAAGTAGCTGATTTAAGAGAAAAGATTTATGGACTGGAAAGTTTGGTGTGCATTAATTTGGGAGATTTGCCTTACATTAACTACACCCAAGTTGTTTTCTAGTTTCTTTTTCTAAGTTTTTTCAAGTCTAAAAGCATCCTCTTAAGACATGATTTCTCGAAGCATAATGATTGATTTCTTCTCTGTTCCTAATTTCTCTTGCATACTCAGCCCTATCAGCTGCTCACACAGTGAACAGGTGAAGGAGAGGCACTTCTTCAGCACAGATACCTCCATAGTAATCTCCTGTGATTTTAAGCTCAGTGAAATTCCATTGGATCTAAATTCACCTTAAGTAGAAGGATGATCCTTGTAAACAAATATGAAATCATATAATGTAGTTATAAATAATAAAATAATATAAAAATAATAATAAGGAGTGTGAATAGCTAAATATCCCAGTAGCCTTTAGTGTATAGTAAAGCAACTGGATTTGATCCTGGAGAGTGTATTCCACACTGTATTCCCATGAGTCCTGTGCTGCCACAGATCTGTCATCCATCCATCCATGAAAATCTATTCCTTCAGGTCTAGATTAGAAAATGCTCCCCTCCCTGTTTTTTCCCTTGTAACAGTAGTGTTCATCATTCACTCTGCTGCTTCTTCTTACCTCCTTCTGTCTCCTGGTTAGAC